TTTTCCGTGAATGTTGCAATCAGAGATCATCTGAAGCATGACGCAACACTCCTTCTGATTTACACGTTGTGCATAGTTGTGCAGCTGTTTGCCACTTTAGCCGAGACAGGCATGTGAACATCTCACCCACTTACAGCATCTCATTTTACAACTTCTTTTACGAATTGTCACACTAAAATTTCACTTGTCCATGACCGCTCCAATCTGCCTTGAAAAATCAGCCAATTTACTAAAATGTTGCACAATGAAAAACGTCAAGCTCTACCACAAACAACTCAGTGTGTTTTATAGAAACGAATATATTCGTGTGTGTATTCGCCGTATGCAAAGCATGCCTGACGCCATTTATTTTAATACACTTGCAGTTTCTACCCCCCCCCCATCTGGCACGGATTCCTATTTGCCAGCCACCATGTGGATCAGCTGTTGTTTGTAAACTTCAGCATTTTTTTCCTGAACTTCAAGGGCTAAAACAGTTCAGTTCTTGGATTTATCGCAGACAACAGTCCTTGCCGGTCACACTTCTGTTTTCTTACCTTGACACTAAAAAGTTTTGCAGCGTGAAGTCTCAGGCAGCCCGCGTTCCCCACGTTTCTGCCTAACACGCATCCTTGTCTCAAAGATTTCACAACGCTGACAGCTTGGAGGATTTTTGCCATATTAACCTATAAGCAGACTTTTAGTAAGACGGCGCAGACGTGGTTGAGAAGCTACTCGTCATAACAAATAACTGAGGGAGAAAAAGTGTGAGCGAGATTTAAGCTTTCCCTCGTGTCCACGCCGCAGGATTGCAGTATAAGCAAGTGAGCGCTTGAAACGTTGATGTGGATTCGCCGGTGGGGAATTGTTGAAGCGCGCGGTGTTTAGGGCCTCGGGGAAAGCCGAATGAATGTAGAAGTAGCATGTGTTTAAATTTCGACACACGGGTAAAGTGATCACATCCCAGCACTAGAATGGTTGTGGTTTTCTAAACAGTTGATGCAACAATATTGTTTAACCTGTTGTTGAATTGAAGATGACAGATATCACAATACCGATATTGTGATTTTAAATGTTCAAATATTTATGGACCTAATTGTTTATGCATACGTGCTAATACACAGTTGTCGAACTCCAGGCCTCGAGGGCCGGTGTCCTGCAGGGTTTAGATGTGTCCTTGGTCCAACACATCTGATTTAAATGGCTAAATGACCTCCTCAGCATGTCTTGAAGTTCTCCAGAAGCCTGGTAATGAACTAATCATTTGATTCAGGTGTGTTGACCCAGGGTGAGATCTAAAACCTGCAGGACACCCGCCCTCGAGGCCTGGAGTGTGACACCCCTGTTCTAATACCTCTAATTCCTTCATTTTTATCAAATTGAAAATTCAAAACAATCACTATCACTGCAAATACAAGCTACAACACAGAGGTGTACTTACTGAATGCAAGGAAATCTAAACACACTTTGTAACATTCAATTTGGGATCAAGGCCACACCTTACTTACCTAGCTGCACTGTGAGATGTCAAAAAAATATATATTTTGAATTGACTTTAATTGTTTTGAAAGCATAAAGGAACACTCATTCTTTTCATTCTCTAGTAGAGCCAAACAAAAATAAGGTCCACTGTCTCAATACGAGGGAGGAGGGACACAAAGGATAAAAAATATAGTGCACGATTAGCAGGAAGTGTTCAGAAATGTAGCTCTGTAGTGTATCAGCGTGACTTAACCTGTGAACTATATAATCACAGTCACCTGTTGGTTTTCTAATAAGTTGACCTTGGATGTAGCTTTTGTTCTAATCATTTGGCCGTGTTTCAACATTATTATAGAGACTAATGTCAAGCTAAAAACAGGCTTTTGACAATTTTTTTCTTAGATTATGTTTTTAGTTTAAGTTACAATGGAAAAAAAACAACAACTGACTTTTTAAAAAATGTCTACACACAAGACATTTGTGATTAAATGCACACCCTGCATTTTAGAACATTAAACACAGACAGAGCTAAAAGAAAAATGCTTTCCCACTGGGAATAAATGTGCCCACTTATAGCAAACTTTTGTATAGTGCTTTCTGTGCAACAAACTCTATACAACATTTTCTTTGAGGCCAATTGCCTGCAAAAAAAAAGGCAAACTGACCATGGAGTGGCTGCATGGTAGTAGGATTAGAGTGTACTGTGTATTTGCTGATCACTGCAAGACTGGTCCTCTGTGGAGAAGGCTGTCTGACTGCCACTCTGCTGTGTTCAGCAGTCTGAACAAAGTGGGTGTGAGTACTAGAACCTGTTTAGATCAGGAAATACCTCCACACTCCAGAAAATGGACTTGGAACTATAACCTGTGCTTTATAGTTAACTTTGTTGCCATGTGCCAGTCTTTAGCATTAAAAAAGTGATCTGGTGCAATATGTCATTGCATTCTACATATATGCCTCATTTCCTGTGCTGAAGCTTACTTTGTTTTTATTTTTATATTTTTTTAGTTTTGTGCATTTTGTGTAGTTCCTTTCTATTTGATGAAACTGCCCTCCTCTCCCTGCAAACCACAATCATTTCCCCGATCAAAATGAACCTAGTGAGCTCCTTCTGTAGATCTGTGGAACACTGCTGACATCCAGTGGCAGATGTTGTGCAAGAGCTGCGGAGGGATCTTGAGTCACTGAATAGTGTTACAGCAGCTCAGTGAGTGGGTACACTTGATGTGTAGATTTGCAGCTCTCTGTATATGCATAAGTAAAATAACACCTTCGCTCCTACTATGTTGCAAAAGCTATGACAGCTTTATAGGTAAAATGACAACTAAATTGAAGTCAGAGGACATGTCTTTTTTGATGTAATAAAGGATGTGATGCATAGTCTCTGTTTATACTGCTGTCTAAACCTCACTTAATATCATTACAGTTTTTTTTAAACGGTTGATGCTGTAATCCAATGTAGTGAACTTTAACATTTAACAGGGATTTAAAAGGTTGGTTTCATGTTTTTGAGAGCAAATATTCAGTACAAGCTTAGCCATTCAGGTTAATATTGGTTCATTTTCATACAATTCGGTTTTATTTATATAGCACCAAATCACAACAACAGCCACTTCAAGGGAACTCAAGCTTCTGTCTCTCTATAGTCAGACTGTTTATTTCTGTGATCGTGCTGTAGCTTATGCAGTAGTTTACATTTACAGTACAGTATTATTCTGCATATTAAAATAACACAGAAGAGCATTTCATGTGCATAGAACATTTATTTATGTATCCTTTTAACAACAATAAACGTGAGCTATGCAAGTGCAAATCTTCCTTGAGTGCATGGGAGTATAGCCTACTGCAGAGCCCACTGCTGAGAGGATAATTAAATATAATGGTTCAACCATATAAAGTTCCACTATGTGGAAATAAATATTCCGAAAAAAAAAGAGGCATGAACAAGTAAGGCGTCTGCAGGAGATCTGTTAGTATGTAGTGAAGAGAGACAATGTGACATTGAAAATTCAACCGGTGCACTTAACCTTTTAAACTGATCAGATTGTGAAACTCTAACATTAACTCCTACAGTCATTTGGCCTGGAGTCTATACATTACAGACCTCATTACACATCAGTTTTCGTCCTGGTGCTGAACCGTTACAGTAATAAATCATTTTATTTGAAGTTGTCCTTGAGAAAAACCCGTCATAGCAGATCCATAAGCCCGAGAATTATTACTGGCATTAAAAAGCTTTATATTAAGTCTGTAAATATTTTTATGAGACTATGAAGCCACTCAACACTTAATTGGGCAATAACTTTGTTCCTCTGTCACTTTTAAATACACAGGTCATTTAAACAGTGCCATCAAATATCCGATGTGATGCCGGGTCGTTGTTTTTCTGTTTTAAAAATAATGCGGTAAAATAAACATGCACTCAGCGTTTAGAGATTATCACTGCACTATCTTAGACCGAAACAACTGATTGTATAATTGTAATTATAGGACTGTATTCATATACTATATTCAACTGTATTCAATTTCGTCCTCTCATCTTCTCTGCTGAATGTTTCCATTTACAGATAGAGTGCCAAAATTCAGCCTTAGCTCTTTTCTATCAATAATGAAAAAACTGCATCTAGAAAATAACTATGTGATGACTGCGAGAACACGAGAAGCCTGGGCAATGTACTGTATGGCTCTTTATTACTGGGAGGGCTGTCATTAGCTGCCTTTTAAATTCCTCCACTGATTGGCTGGCGTACGGCCTAATGAACTCTAGTGTCTATCCTCGGCGGAGGGATCCCACATTGTCTGCAGTTTCAAGTGTGAGTTTCAGATGGGGACCAAGCTTAAGAGAGGACTTAAATAGACGCCCCGCTAACTCGCCCCGCTGTTTGCCAGGTTTCCAAGTCTTGGCCCTGACATAAGAGAGATAACTGGTGCTTCGTTTCAAGGATGTATGGTGGGGTTTGTTCGCCGTCAGTTCGGACTACTTAAATTGAGCAGTTTGACTGACAATACTTTCACTTTACATATGAAAGCAAGTTTGTTTGTATAGTGTGTTCCAACAATAAGACTAATAAAAAATGCTATTGAAAAATATAAACAGGTCGAAAAAAGAAGAAGTGTGTGTGTGCGTGGGATGATTTTTGGAGTTCTGAAAGGTTCATAAAGTAGCAGCAGATGAGAAATGTACAGCACCGCAGGACCAAACCTCTCAGTTACAGTTCACAGCATACAGAAAGCAAATGCACGGAAAGCAGTGATTTGTTTCACATTCATGGCCGACCTGATTTTGTTCAAGTCATTGCACACTTAGGCTGGATTTTATGCATACAGCACTAATGGCAGGAGAGCAGGAGTAGTGACATGTGTATCAGTTGTTGCAACAGTTGTAATGACTGGAAAATTGTTTGTGTGACTTTCTGAACCAGTACTTTGAAGCTAAACGTTCCATTATTTAAAAAGAAAAAATAGTAAAACTATATTTTAATGCTTTCATTTGAATTATTGTAAATGAACAGTCGCTGATTTATAATCATTGAGTCAAGCCTCCGTATCTATAATGGAGTTGTGTTGTATACTGTTAATACAAGCTTTTGAACAAGGTTTTGCTAGCATCAATCAGTGCCTCAGCATGAGCTGTCAAGCTGGTACAAAATCCGCTCACAGTGTTACCATACATGCTTTGAGTGGCATTGTGACAGTTTAGCAGTCTTGCTGTGACAGCAAATTCAACCTCTGGATTATTAAAGAAAGTTATCGTCTGGAGAGAAAAGAAGGAGCAGACTTTTCCCTTTGGCTCGTATTAGATTCCCATCCTCTGTAGTGATGCAGTGGCCTCAGTAAAAAAGGCAATAGGTACCTTTGTTTAGCCTGAACCCATCTTAAGCCCTGTGTGGCCAGTGTGGGGCTTTCTAGAGAGCGAGGGAGGGGAAGAGAACACATGGGCCACAGAGGCTGCATCAGACCCCTTAAGGAGCCATGGCTCCCGCTCTTTGAAATCCCAAGAAACTTCACACCTCTCTGTGGGGACTATAAATAGGCACCATCTGTCCCCCCAGGCTCAGTTACAGCCTCATTCCTTTTGGCATGGACGTAGGGCAGAGAAGGAAGCACTCAGGGTTTAAAAAGAGGGGGCGGTAGATGGAACCAGAATCCAAAATTTACTCTGCTCATCTCAGAAGACTGACTCAGTGACCTCTGCTGAATATTTTGAAGCAAAGGAAGTCCTTCGCTACGGTCCGTCATTTCCTTCTTTTCAGTAACCCTTTCAGCACTGCAGCTCCCCACCGAGCCAAATGCCAGTGACCAAGGAGCTTCTGCCATCTTTGGAATCTTACACCACACTGCACTCATCGCATGATGTTTTTCTCAAGCTCATGTTCTCAGCATTTCATTAA